GACTCTAGCTTTGTGTTTATAAATATATATATATAGAGATCACCAACCTGCTTTCCAGCCGCAATGTTTGAATGAATATATAAACTCCAATCACCAACCAATTGAATATATAGCTTTGTGTTTATAAATATATATATATAGAGATCACCAACCTGCTTTCCAGCCGCAATGTTTGAATGAATATATAAACTCCAATCACCAACCAATTGAATATATCCACTTTGTATGTTTTCTCTTATGGCAGCCCCTTCTTTTCTGTATGTGAGTTTCTGTGCGTATATTATAATTCAACCTTGCAGCCCTTTCTTTTCTGTGCCAGCCCTTGCGTGTATATAATATATAACTCAATTGAATTGTTTTTTCCTCTCACATACCACACCCTAAAATAATGGAATATATGTTATATTTATAGGATCAATAATTACCTTTTTATTATTTGCAGTAGAAGTCCTCCAATTTTAAAATTTGAGGCAATTACCTAACACTCCTCTAACTTAGTGTAGTGACTTTTTAAGCCAGACGAAATCTTGATTCAAAACAACTGGACTTGTAAGTCTGGAACTTTTAAAGAATGAACAGGGAACTTGATTTTTCTGAAAATTGTCTTTGCTTCTTACTTTCGATTGGAGAGAAATTTCTGAAAACTTAGAGAGCCCTTGTCTCAAAGCTCCAAGATTCAAACCATAGTGCACCCAAATGCTTGTTACGCCTATTTTAGAAACCTACAAACGAGAACATATAGAATAAAGAATGGCAATATCCAACTAGAAACATTAAGATGAGTTCGGAAAGTATCATGTGCTTCAACATCCATCGATAGAGAGAAACAAATGACATGGAAGATATCTTAAGGCTTTTATGTTTCGATCCTCGCCACAAAAAATAGCATTTTGTTATAGGGGAACCCCAATCCTCCGACTAATTTTTGAAAACAATCATGCTACATGTATATCATTTTTACATCATTCTTTACATTGCATCACATGATAAAACACTACTAGACAATTTACAAACAAAAATAGTTCTTGTCCACAATTTTAAAAAAACAAAGGCAATGTCAAAAAGAATGTTAAGAAAAGATTGTACATTTAGCATTTTTGTTTTGAAAATGATGTGTCTTGTGGGTCCAACTGGAAAATATCACCTGAAATATTAGAAATATTCAGTATGGTAGCAATACATAATTACTTGATTAAATCTCTCAATACAGACAGGCACAAGAGCAGGGGGGACACA